AAAGAGTGACTCTAGTTCAGATTCCTGCAGCCTAGGCCTCGCTCTCCCACTTCCTTACCAGATGCCTTTCTCAGTGCTGATGTGGAGGGTTCTGGGGACTCGTCTCCATCACTGGATTCTGCGGAGTCCTCACTGCTGATCACTGCACAGAGGAAGAAAACCACTTAGGATGTCAGGGTGGAGCCCACGCAGCAGGAAACCCCAGAATGAGAGCCCTAGGAAGATCTAGAAGCTAAGTTAACTCAAGGCACCGTGGCCTGTGCTTGAATGTGTGTGACCTGCAGGTTTCTCCAGGTCCTGCGCAAAACGTGATGATATTCACAGAGGGCAGCTTTGCCCAATCTGCCAACACTCTGCTTCCCTCACCCTCATTCTGCCTCTTAGCACCACGCTCAGTCTACCTCTGACCTTCTACTTCATTCTACCTCTTTCTTTCATTCTTATTTTACTTCTTTACCTTCCTCTTGGCTTGGCCCATTTTCCCCACTTACGCCTCTCTTTCTGGGGATGGGATCTCTTTATACCTCGCTTTGTCTTCATGTGTTTCTTTTCCATCTCCTCTCTTGAATATCCTGGGCCTCTGATTTTTTCCCTTTTCTTTATCTTGTACCCCCATACTTTCCTCTCTTGCTTTAGAAATTGTCTCTTGGACATCAATACTTTTTATCTACCCCTTTTGTCTTTTGATATCTTTCCAGTTCCTGGGGAATCTCTTCTGCTAAACTCACTGCACTCACTGCACTGGTTCCCTCCCCTTCCTGCCTCTGTCCGTGGCCACCTGGACTGGCTGGATGTACCCTGATGACCTGCCCCAGCCTCTTGCCCTGTCCCTGTGATTCCTGCTCCACACTGTGTCAGCCTTACCTATTACATCAGGCGCCTGGTTACAGTCAGTCCTTGCTTGGGTTTGCCATTCAACTTCGGGGTTAAAAAATGGCTTTTCCTTCTTTATATCCACCAGAAGGACAGAACAGGAATTGATTTGAAATCCATGGTCGGGTAGCTTTGCTTCTGGATCAAATTGTAATGAATGAAGAATTTTAATTTGTCACTCCAAAAGGTAGTAAGCACTGTTCATTAGCATTAACAGCCTTCTCTTTGTAATTCCACTGCAGGAGGGAGGCTTCACCCCGACCCTTCTCCTTGCTGCTGCTCAACTCTGTCCCTTTCTTTGTGTCTCTCTCAATTCTCAGGTTTTAATTTTATCTTTGTTTTTACTTTCTTCTCACTTACTTTTCTCATCTTTTGATGATTTTTCTTTTTTGCTTTTCAAAAATAAAAATCACAATTGCAGTATAACTCATAGATAAAAATGCATAAATCATAAATTTTGAATTATCACAGACCAAGCATATCTGGGTAACCATCACTTTGGTCAAGTAATAGGAGATTACTAACACTCCAGAAACCTCTTAGAGATGCCCCACTAACTGTCCAGATGTATCTTGCTCAAGTTAACCACCACTTTGACACTTTTAATACCATAGATGATTGATTTTACTAGTTCAAAATTTATACAAATTTATATAAGTGGAATCATTCACTCTTGCTCTCTCTCTCTGTCCCTCTGACTTTTCAGGGGCAGGGGTGGATTTGGCTTCTTTAGTCAACATGTGTGTGATAGTCATCTGTATCCATTTCGTATATTTATCTTCACCACTATATAATATTCCTTTATAGAAATTATCCATTAAGAAATAAAACCATAAAATATCCATTTTTGCTGGCTCAAGCTTTAGAATACTATGAATAATGCTATGATGAACATTTTTTTGTATGTGTTTTGATGAAGATAATATGCATTTCTGTTGATCTGTTGAGGAATGTAACTACTGAGTCATAGGCTATGTGTAAAGTTAGGATTGACAGAAGTGACAAAACCATGGTTGGCTTAATCCACTAAGTTTTGGGACTATTTTTTTATACAGCAACAGATAAATGATACAGATTCCAAATAGAGATGTCCATCAGATCTTTGAATACAGATCTTCAAGCACTTGGAGGAATGAGACTAGAGATCAGGTCTGGCTGGAGATGTACATCTAGGAATCAATAGATGACGGATGGTACTGAAACCATGGGGAGGGTGAGATGCCTGAGGAGAGGCCTATTTTTATCTGAGGGGGTTACAGGGCTATTTTGATCATTGCAGATACCTTACCCTTCTCAATGGTATTAGGAACAGTCCCTTGTGTCTTCTTTTTTGATGACTGTCTCAAATGGGGCAATGTCTTAATTTGTCTCCTCTCTCTGTTTGGCCCACTCTCTACCAATTTTTAATTAATTGTCCTTTAAGTTATTCTCTTTGTGCCTCTCCTACCCCCCATTTTTCTCTTTATTGGTATTCTTTTTCATCTGTATATTTCTCTATTCCTCTCTTTTCCTCTATATTTGTAATCACTGTCCCCAGGGTCCATCAGGGTCTAGGACCAGGCAAAGGAGGTGCCTAGGGCACAAGAAGGTGCCAAGGGTAAGATAATCCTTATATGTGCCCCAGGGTCTCACCCTAGACCTGACCCTGCTGTCCCGTACCTGCTTTTTCAACGTATCCATTCTCTGTTACGTTTCCTACTTTCTCCTACTCTATCCCTGTTTCTTAATTATTATTATGACCTGAGTATGTCTCCTCTATATCAATTTTGTCTTTCTATATATTTTCCTCATTTAAGCATTCAAATCATCACCAAAGTTCTCCCTGTGTGCCATTGTCCAACAAACCACATCCCTCTACCTGCCACTTCCTTCTAAAAGGCCCTTCACCTGGGCTTCCTTACTTGCAAATCTGACCTGCAACATCTTACATGATATACGTGTTTCTGTTATAACCTCTGGAAAGGAAGTTGCAACTTGTTTCTTTTCATCAACTCCACAACATGGCATTATTTTGATTCCATGTCAATTTATCTAAAGTCTACCTCACTCCTGTACTTTGTTATGTGGTGCTCCACAGTCCACCTTTTCCTATTCTTCCTCTTTGCATTCTTTCCCAGGGACACCCCATCCACTAACGAGCTCAGCTCTCCCTCTCCCTTGCAACTTACACCTGCTAAAATCAGCCAGAGGTTGTGTGTCTTGGACAGTGTTAGGATTGGGAAGGGGTGTATTAGTATATGGGAGAACAAAGGAGAGCTTTTACTCTCATAGAAAAACAGATGTAATTAGAAAATTGGTAAGTAATTACTTTCTTCCTCATAAGGCAATGGGCTGGGTGTCTCCTTTCTTGCATCACCATTATTTGATTGGATAGGTACTTGTTCACAGGACTCTGAAGATAAAAAAGACCACAGAGACTTGCTTTGCCCTGTTTCCATTTTCTTACATTTCATCCAATTTCTCTTTCCTTCTTATGTTTCTATTTATAGTCTGTCTGCATATATTGCCACCTTCACCCCGTGAAAGTGCCATGTTTCATTGATTCTGGAGCCGATCTCTCCCTGACTTGTTCGACTTTTGTTTCTGTCTCTCTTCCCCGGTGGGGCTCTGCAACTCTTTGCCTTCTGTCTCTTAGTTTTTCCTTTCTCACTTTCTTCCTCCAGGTCTCTCCCATCAATATATCAGGCTCCATTCTTGCCCTCTGTGTGTCTGTGTGATTTTCCCCTTCTTTGTTAATAGATGTCTCCTTGAGTGGCGCATTACTTCCTTCTCTGCCACTAGTCAGGACCTCTTGGCCATTCCACACTCACGCAAACCCAGCCAGTCTTACCTGCTGGTTCAGACTCTTGGGCACATTGTTCATTTGCTTGTTGGCTTTCTAGTGCATCGTTTTGGTCACTGGTTGTATCTTTCCTCTTTGCATTTATCTGTTCTGTTTCACAGAGGTGATCCGAGAGTGCATTTTCAGGTGAAGTTGTACCTAAATCATGTTTTGATTCATCATACTTTGTTTTCCTCCAGCATCAATCAGCGTCCAACAGGAAAATACAAACCACTTTAAGCTTTTAAAGCAGAGGAAATTTAATCCAGGGATTGGTTACTTGGTGAATGGAATGGCAGAGAAGATCAAGTGGACGAATGCAGCGAAACCTGAAGCAGCCAACAGGAAGCTATGGGAGGGACGGAGGCTGGGCTCCTGGGCTGAGGCCACTGGGTAGGCAGAAGCTGGACCATGGCTGGCCTGCCTGGTGGAAGGTGGAGTCAAGGCTGAGATGCAGCCACTCCTAGAATTGCTACTGGAGATAGTGGTGGGGCAACACCTGGCTTCTCCCTTATTCCCACTCTCTTGCTAGTGTCTCCCACGTTAGGAACCCAGCGGGGAGCCAGCAGCAAGGGGAGCTGGCAAGCAAGTCCGCGGGGACCAGTGGCCAGAGAGAGACAGAGCAGAGCAGAGCAGGGGAGGGTAAGGAATGAGGCCCTGGGGAAACCACCCAGGACCAGCACACACGCCCTTCCCCCATGGCAAACCCTCTCTGCTCATTATTGATTCCATTGACCCATCCCATTCTGTTCCCACCGGCCTCAATAATGTATGAATACATAGACATATTTTTCAGTACAGTGTGGATTTTTCTCATTTAGTGCTTTTCTAAACAAAGTAATTTACGTAAAGCATGATTTAAAATTATTTCCCAAGGTTTTAATATAGAACGTGGGCACTGGTGCATGCTTTGTGCCACATCCTGGTGAGCATGAGACACAGCCCTTCCTGTCCCTGTGCATGTCACAGCCAGCCGTACTTGCTGGGTCACACTCTTGGACACACTTACTGGCGGCCTGTTGTGTATCATTTGGGTCTTAGGTTGAAGTTTCTCTCTTTAAGTTCATTGCTCGCCGTAACTGAGATGCTCTGGGATTCCACTTCCTGGCAGGGTTGCCCCCAGACCACACTGTGAGTTTTAAAGAATTTCATTGCCTCCTCCCTCCACCCCCA